TTTTTTTTTAGACTTTAGAAACTCAGAAGCTGATCAAATATCGGTTTAAATATCGGTGGGGGGGCCGATGTCCGATATTCAGTTTTAAGGCCGATACCGATAGGGGGCCGATTATATCGTGCATCCCTAATTCTGCCGGCAGGTTTCTACATTTGAAGTAAATTTAGGCGTTAATAAACTGTTTCAGAGGAGTGATCATAGCGCTCTGCATCAGCAGTGCTGCGTCTGACTCCCTGCCAGCTCCGTGTGATGCGCCGCTTCAGCTGCTGTGTTTTGAAGTCGGGTTTCCAGGGATGGTCTGAAGGGAGAGGCATTGTTGTGTACGTTCAAAAATATAACCAAAGGTCAAAGAATCAGTCGGCTGCCTTTATTGCAGCTAAAGCTTCTGTTTATGCTGCTTTCATTTTAAAGCTGCTGATCAAAGTTTGAACTTTGATCAATAACCTTAAAACAGAAGCTGCACCAGTTTAGTTTGATTTGCAGAGAGTTGGGCATAAAAGTGACCGAACTGGGAAAAGGTGGAGCAGAGGTCAAATCTGCTTATCTGAGTGATTTGAAGCAGGAAATGTGATGAAGATGTTTCATGCAGCCCATAGGCCCAAACCATCACATGTTAAAGGAAACATGTGATGAAACACAAAACCGTTCATCATTTCTAAAGTTCAACAAATCTAACTGTGGATGTCTGGGGGACAGTGATTGGCCTCCATGTTCTGAATGCTGGCGTACCATAAAGAATAAATGATGAACAGTTTAGTTTGTGCCTTCAAGTCGTTGCTTATAGGAAGATGTTACTGGATATAACCTAACGGAATATCTTCAGAACGGCTCCAAATGACACTAAACTCATATGGGTGAGTAGAACATGATGGAATAACGGAAAATCAAGGAAACAATGAAAAAAAAAATGTGTGGCTAAAACTAGTAAATTTTCGTCCTGAAGACTAAGACTAAATCTAAGATGGCTGCCAGAAAAACCTCTGATACTAACAATTATTCCCTTAAAGTCAATCTAAGCGTTTTAGTTCCTGGTTTGGAGTTTGAAGAGGAGGCAGATGAGGCAGAGTTCCTCCATAATGAACTGGGATCCTGCCAGCTGACTAATGAAAACCAGTAGAGGATGGTGGCATGTTAGTCCTGAGGAGGCCACACCTGAGCGCAGCCTTCAGGAAGCGGTGCGTTCTGATTGGTTCTTATATACGGCGGCTTTAGAACGACGCTGTGAGTCTAATTCCTTCCAAACAGCCACCCAGCAGGTTCTCATCTGTTCCCTTCTCTGCTCATCAACCTCCATGCAAACACCCCCCCCCCTACTCTGTCAACTTTCTGAGTTCAGTTACCGTGGAAACGGGCTGTAATCCATATGGGCTGCTCTGCCTAGAACCTTCTGTTCCTCTAATTTTAATTCAGTAACTAAAAATAAAGGAGCGATCCAGATAAGCCTGATCATTTCCCACCAATCAGGATGGACCACAGCTTAAAATCAAACTGGTTTTGAACCAGTTCTGACTGTAGTCTGCTGGTTTGAGGCTTTAACTGTGTTTTATTGTTAATTTTGTCCCATTTTTAGATGGCTTTACCGTCCGACAGCCGTTTATTTTTTACCCTCCTGTCCAATCAAGCACACGCACAGTTGTCCTAAAAGATGTTTTTCTGAATTCGTTGATAAAATTAACATTTATGTTTTACTTTAAGATATAAAAAAAAAGAGTGAAAACATTTTTTAAATTGGAATATTCTTGATGGAAACTTTATTTTTTTGCAGTTTATGCACAAAAAATGAGCTAAATATAATCTTTTAGCTAAAGACACTGTTTTCTGTCGACCCAAAGAACCGCGTTGTTCTCTGCCGAGGATTTTCTAATAAACCAGGAAAAAACACCTGACCTGTTAGTTTCATTAGTGTATGATGAGGATGATGATGATTGAGCATCGTGGTGTAAGAAGTTCTCAACACACTGGAAAAATGATCTAGAAATAAGTAAAAAGGGGTATTTAGCCTTAATTAAAGCAGGAAAATAAGATGATTCTCAAATGGAATGATCTATCTATATTTAAGAGTAGAAATACTCATTCTATTGGCAGATCATCTTATTTTTCTATGAAAATAATTGGTAAAAACACTTAATTTAAGAAATGTTGACTTATTTCTAGGTGTTTTTTGCAGTGCAGGATGGATATTAAACTATTGTTTCCATTGTAGCAGGGGGGGTGTGGTGCTGCTAGTTTCCTCCGGTGTGCGTTTAGGTGGTTTACGTTTTAAATTCTGCCTCTGCGTTTCTACAGAGCTGGATGACAGAGTGTGGGTGTGAATGGGACAGCTCGTCTTTTGGAGGATCAGTTGGTGCCGTAGGAGGTGTTAACTAGAACAGCCAAGTATTCCTCTGGGTCCTGTGCTGCTTTGCAGCCCTATATCCAAGCTCCCTGGGTCCATCCTCGGTCCCTCCGCTCTCCTCAGCTCCTTTCAACCTTTCTTCATTCCAGCCATCATGGCGTTCGTGTGGAAGCCGTGGTCAGATGGAAATGACAGAGTTCAAGTTTAGAGTTTTGACATTTGAAGTTCTTATTTAGACAGCTCATCTCCAACTCTTTCTGCAGATGAATGTTCCACCTCCAGCAGAGCTAAACTTAAAGCGGAATCATTTCTGGAAAGTTCTCTTTGGAACCCAGCAAAGCCAAGTCTTAGAGAAATGCAGAAGGGGGAGGGGCATCTCCTGCTGCTAGAAATCAGAATACTGATTCTCATGCTAGACGCAAATCGTATGAAAAAAATTGGTTCCTAAATCCTTCGTAGGAGATGAAGGGATAAAGGGATGAAGGGATGAAGGGATGAAGGACGTGGTCTGGAGATCTGTTGGCTTCATGCTACAATCATTTGGATGGTTAATGGACTTCCTTCCTTCCTTCCTTTACTGCATCCTTGTTTTCCTTCCTTCCTTCCTTCCTTGCTTCCATCCTTCCTTCCTTTACTGCATCCTTGTTTTCCTTCCTTCCTTCCTTCCTTCCTTCCTTCCTTCCTTCCTTTACTGCATCCTTATTTTGGCTTTCTGTCTCTCTGCATCCTGGATCACACACACTTCTATCAATTATCTAATTACAGCATTAGTGACCCAAAACGGACCAGGAGGTAAAAATAGAGCATCTGGTCCCAACCAGAGTTTTATAGCTCTGCTTCTTCCCACACAACCTGCCACACATTTCCATGCTAAGCTAATTACACGGCCGCCTGCTCTGCGGTCCGCCCAGACGGCTAAGGTTTCCTGTCTGTTGACGTCAGACGCGTCTTTGAACCGTGTTAAAAAGTGCAGATTTAACAGAGTCACCTAAAAAAGTCTGATTTGGGGTAGAAAATAGAGTTTCCTTAAAGGGACGGCTGTGTTTTGACTGGTTTTGGACCAGTCTGGAGCAGAGACAGCTGTTTGAAACCCTCACTTAGAAATAGTACGGTGTTCTCGGGCTCAGACATAATAATGGAACTGAACCGGATAACCTGATATCAAGGAAGAAACCATCTGGCTGTGCTGCTAAAGTAACCTACTGGATGTTTTCATCATAGTAATAACTATAGAAATAACCCATAGTGCTCGTATGAAGTGTAGTGGTACCTGATCAGTGCCGCGGTTCAGAGGGTTGGAGTCATTGAAATGCAGTCACAATTTTACTAAATCCATCTTCAAGTCGCTGTAGCAACTTGATCTTTGGTCAAGCGAGACAAAAACATCCGCCGGCGTTCTGTCAGACCAGCATACGCCGTCAGATCAGCAGAACTATAGTCA